AAGGGCCTTTGCAGTGGCTTGCCCGCCCACCCACCCTCCCAGGGTGGCACTCTGGCCTCAGCCAGAGTTCAATTTCTCTGCCTGAGTGCCAGGCCAGCCCCAGCCCCAGCCCCAGCCCCAGTCTGTCACTGAAAAAGAGTCAGAAAAGCCTTTGCCTCCAGGTCTACCTGTACCCTTCCTTTGGGTAGCATAGATCCATCCACACAAAGAAAACTGCTTATTGCTGAATATCTTTTATTGCTTATTGTCATGGGTGTAGGTAAGCAAATACTGAATGTGCATCTGTTGCTATTTTCCTCTGCTCACGGTTAACTTCTCTTAAGAATTGAGTCATCTGCACTGATTTCTGGCAATGGGCAGTAAAAAATGTACTTGAACAGGCCCAAAATGTACATTAGCACACCCACACATACTAATATATAGCATCACTACTTTCCAACTTCTCTGGGGAAACTGAATACATCTGTAAAATGTAGACTGTGAGAAACACTTACAGTATATGTGCTTCTCCTACTCTGCCTGTGCCCAACATAGGATGCAGGACCAGAAAGCTTTGAGACCACAGACACAAAGCCTCAGAAATCTTGGATGCATTCAATAGCCCATAAAGAAGCAAAAAGCATTTCTCTATTCACGTGTCTTAAAGCCAATTTCTAATAATTCTGGTCACTCTAGTAATGGTTTGGAACCATGTGCATGCGATAGAAAGCTGGTTCAGACAGTCTGTTACAGTGTTTGAGGTATGCTGCTAGGAGTCCCATAGATGTATACATAGGGCAGCTAGCTTCAGGAACTCTCTTTTTTGCCAAGCTTGCACACTGTTTGTTTCATTAATTACCATTTTACAGTTGTCGCTTTTCATAGCTATATGAACAGTAATATCCAGTGGTCTTGCTAGCCATAAAGTAGTGTTCTTAGAGAAATCCCCCCATTAAAAAAACCTCTAGGATCTATGATGTTCCCCTTAGGAAACATCTAACATTTTTCAATGGAAGGAGAGAAAACTCTTTCCCCACCTTCCCAATCTTCTGCCTGCAAAAAAGCAGTGATTTGATTTTCCCTTCTGAACCCAGTAGATTACCTAAAATTTGTACAGAATTTTGGAAGCCACCAGACTCTTCTGAATCCCTAGTGAGTGGAGTCAGTCAAGTCCCATTTGCCAGTTCATGCCCCAGAAAGGATGACTTAGGATCACCATGTACTTGGTACCATGTCAGTATTACTTTAGTTCCTTTTATTTCCTAATTAACTGGCACTCTATCATTACGAGTTAATCAGAGGCATTGTGTATTTGCACAATGGAGTTAAGATCTTCCCAGTCCAGGACAATCCACTGTTTACTAAAAAATTATTTTTTAGTCAAAGTTTTAAAAGGTATTTAATTGTGTGTATCTTGGAAAGTGGTCTACTGAATAGTGCAGTGACCTTTGGGGGAGGTGGAGAGATTTTTTTTTATGTTTATCACAGCCCTTTGGTCACATGCAAGTTTTTGAAATGTAGTGACACTTAAACCTGAAATTGGAGTAATTTTCCCTGGATTTCAAGTGGAGCAGGATCAGGTCTGTACCATTTACTCTATAAGGTACATCTCCAGCCTGCCCTTGTTTTGTCTCCTAGCAGTGAATTAGATGGATTGCCTGAGCTGGGGAAACATCACTTCCCCAGCTGGGTAATCATG